AGGGATGTGTTTTAATTTATCGGAAGGAGGGATGTGTTGTAAGTTTTAGGAAGTAGGGATGTGTTGTAGGTTTGAGAAAGTAGGGATGTGTTGTAAGTTTTAGGAAGTAGGGATGTGTTGTAAGATTAAGGAAGTAGGGATGTCTTGTAGATTTTATAAAGTAGAGATGTGTTGTAAGTTTTAGGAATTAGGGATGTGTTGTAATTTTAAGGAAGTTTAGGGATGCGATGTAAGTTTTAGGAAGTAGGGATGTGTTGTAAGTTTTAGGAAGTTTAGGGATGTGATGTAAGTTTTAGGAAGTAGGGACGTGTTGTCAGTTTTAGGAAGTAGGGATGTGTTGTAAGTTTTAGGATGAGGGATATGTTGTAAGTTTTAGAAAGTTTAGGGATGTGTTGAAAATTGTAGGAAGTAGGGATGTGTTGTAAGTTTTAGGAAGTAGGGGTGTGTTGTAAGTTTTGGAAAGTAGGGATGTGTTTTAATTTATCGGAAGGAGGGATGTGTTGTAAGTTTTAGGAAGTAGGGATGTGTTGTAGGTTTGAGAAAGTAGGGATGTGTTGTAAGTTTTAGGAAGTAGGGATGTGTTGTAAGATTAAGGAAGTAGGGATGTCTTGTAGATTTTATAAAGTAGAGATGTGTTATAAGTTTTAGGAATTAGGGATGTGTTGTAATTTTAAGGAAGTTTAGGGATGCGATATAAGTTTTAGGAAGTAGGGATGTGTTGTAAGTTTTAGGAAGTTTAGGGATGTGATGTAAGTTTTAGGAAGTAGGGATGTGTTGTAAGTTTTAGGAAGTAGGGATGTGTTGTAGGTTTGGGAAAGTAGGGATGTGTTGTAAGTTTTAGGAGAGTAGCAATGTGTTGTAAGTTTTAGGAAGTAGGGATGTGTTGTAGGTTTGGGAAAGTAGGGATGCGTTGTAAGTTTTAGGAAGTAGGGATGTGTTGTAAGATTTAGGAAGTAGGGATGTGTTGTAGGTTTGAGAAAGTAGGGATGTATTGTAAGTTTTAGATAGTAGGGATGTGTTGTAGGTTTTAGGAAGTAGGGATGTGTTGTAAGTTTTAGGGAGTAGGGATGTGTTGTAAGTTTAAGGAACTTTAGGGATGCGATGTAAGTTTTAGGAAGTAGGGATGTGTTGTAAGTTTTAGGAAGTTTAGGTATGTGATGTAAGTTTTAGTAAGTAGGGACATGTTGTAGGTTTGGGAAAGTAGGTATGTGTTGTAAGTTTAAGGAAGTAGGGATGTGTTGTAAGTTTTAGGAAGTAGGGATGTGTTGTAAGTTTAAGGAAGTTGGGATGTGTTGTAAGTTTCAGGAAGTAAGGATGTGTTGTAAGTTTTAGGAATTAGGGATGTGTTGTAATTTTAAGGAAGTTTAGGGATGCGATGTAAGTTTTAGGAAGTAGGGATGTGTTGTCAGTATTAGGAAGTTTAGGGATGTGATGTAAGTTTTAGGAAGTAGGGACGTGTTGTAGGTTTGGGAAAGTAGGGATGTGTTGTTAGTTTTAGGAAGTAGGGATGTGTTGTAAGTTTTAGGAAGTAGGTATGTGTTGTAAGTTTTAGGAAATAAGGATGTGTTGTAAGTTTTAGGAAGTAGGGATGTGTTGTAGGTTTGGGAAAGTAGGGATGTGTTGTAAGTTTTAGGAAGTAGGGATGTGTTGTAAGTTTAAGGAAGTAGGGATGTGTTGTAAGTTTAAGGAAGTTGGGATGTGTTGTAAGTTTAAGGAAGTTGGGATGTGTTGTAAGTTTCAGGAAGTAAGGATGTGTTGTAAGTTTTAGGAAGTAGGTATGTGTTGTAAGTTTTAGGAAGTAGGGATGTGTTGTAAGTGTTAGGAAGTAGGGATATGTTGTAAGTTTTAGGAAGTAGGGATGTGTTGTAAATTGTAGGAAGTAAGGATGTGTTGTAAGTTTTTTGAAGTAGGGGTGTGTTGTAAGTTTTGGGAAGTAGGGATGTGTTTTAATTTATCGGAAGTAGGGATGTGTTGTAAGTTTTAGGGAGTAGGGATGTGTTGTAAGTTTAAGGAACTTTAGGGATGCGATGTAAGTTTTAGGAAGTAGGGATGTGTTGTAAGTTTTAGACAGTAGGAATGTGTTGTAAGTTTTAGGAAGTAGGGACGTGTTGTAGGTTTGGGAAAGTAGGGACGTGTTGTAAGTTTTAGGAAGTAGGGATGTGTTGTAAGTTTTAGGAAGTAGGGACGTGTCGTAGGTTTGGGAAGTAGGGATGTGTTGTAAGTTTTAGGAAGTAGGTATGTGTTGTAAGTTTTAGGAAGTAGGGATGTGTTGTAGGTTTGAGAAAGTAGGGATATGTTGTAAGGTTTAGGAAGTAGGGGTGTGTTGTAGGTTTGAGAAAGTACCTATGTGCTGTAGGTTTTAGGAAGTAGGGATGTGTTGTAAGTTTTAGGAAGTATGGATGGGTTGTAAGTTTAGGAAGTTGGGATGTTTTGTAAGTTTTAAGAAGTAGGGATGTGTTGTAAGTTTTAGGAAGTAGGGATGTGTTGTAGGTTTGAGAAAGTAGGGATGTGTTGTAAGTTGTAGGAAGAAGGGATGTGTTGTAAGTTGTAGGAAAGAGGGATGTGTTGTAGGTTTGAGAAAGTATGGATGTGGTGTAAGTTGTAGGAAGGAGGGATGTGTTGTAAGTTTTAGGAAGTAGGGATGTGTTGTAAATTTTAGGAAGTAGAGATGCGTTGTAAGTTTTAGGAAGTAGGGATGCGTTGTAAGTTTTAGGAAGTAGGGATGTGTTGTAAGTTTTAGGAAGTAGGGATGTGTTGTAGGTTTGAGAAAGTAGGGATGTGTTGTAAGTTGTAGAAAGGAGGGATGTCTTGTAGGTTTGAGAAGGTACCTATGTGCTGTAGGTTTTAGGAAGTAGCCTCAGTAAGGGATGTGTTGTAAGTTTTAGGAAGTAGGGATGTGTTGTAAGTTTTAGGATGTAGGGATGTGTTGTAAGTTTTAGGAAGTAAGGATGTGTTGTAGGGTTGAGAAATTAGGGATGTGTTGTACGTTTAAGGAAGTAGGGATGTTTTGTAAGTTTAAGGACGTTTAGGGATGTGTTGTTAGTTTTATGAAGTTGAGGGATGTGTTGTAAGTTTTAGGAAGTAGGGATGTGCTGTAGGTTTGAGAAATTAGGGAAGTGTTATAAGTTTTATGAAGTTTAGGGATGTGATGAAAGTTTTAGGAAGTTTAGGATTGTGTTGTAAGTTTTAGGAAGTAGGGATATGTTGAAAGTTTTAGGAAGTAGGGATGTGTTGAAGTTTTAGGAAGTAGGGGTGTGTTGTAAGTTTTAGGAAGTTGGGATGTTTTGTAAGTTTTAAGAAGTAGGGATGTGTTGTAAGTTTTTGGACGTTTAACTAAACATTACCTGTAAAGCTTTTAGAAAGAACCCTTTGGTCTTTTGAACATGTTGGTTTGTATCAAGTTGTAGCATATGAGAACTACATTGTATTAAAACGGTTGATAGAGATGCCTTAATTATTCTGATCCAAAATCAAATGTTTAATACTGAAGAATCATAAATGTTTGGATTAATACGAGTTTTCGAAACACAAGGACCATAATTATTTTCAGTAAAATGCATGATGCAATTTTGCTGACACAACACAGATCACTCTGCGAGTCTCTCAATTCGTCATTATTACTCACTCGGTTGAACTTAGTAATACATTCAGTACGCAACACCTAAAGATCATCGTTCAACTTACCATATTCCCTTTTCACCCTGCTAATGCCGCTGTATAAAGTGCAAGTCTGATTTCGAGAGCCGGAACTTGCTAAATACTTTGCAAAAACATTGCCAAATAGTAACTATCCTTCCTTCAGAAGCTGTACGTTTACTCAGACAAAATACACACTCAATTTAATTAACTTCCGGGGCAAATGAAGCTGTCACATTAACAACATTTTTTTCTTCTCTGATAAGGTAATATTTTCAACTGTTTGGGGGCTTTGTAAATATCGTATCTTGAACGGTGGCTATGTTTTTAAATGTCTTATTTAGAATAGTTGTTATGTTTGTAAATGTCATATTTACAATATGACTTGTAAATATAATAATTACACTTGTGGGACCTGTGGAAACGGTGTTTACAGAGATCGACGCTGAACCAGCCAATGACTTAATGTCTCAGTCAGGTGAGATAATAAGGGAATCATTCATGTAATCCTAACTGTCGGTACAATGTGTGAAGCCGTTGTGAGAGTGCTGCGATATTGTTGAAAGCGACGTAAAGTCATTAGAACTATCATCATTTACATCAAAACAGTTTACAAACATTTGCGAAAGACAGACACTGAGGAGGTGAGGTGAAATGGGGTTTAACTACGGAGGCGGTCCACACAATAATGGTCATGGCCCACCAGGTCAGAATTATGACATCGCCACGATCAAAATGGACAATCCGAGGTATGTTATCTCGTGTTTTGTAATTCGTGGATGGCACCCTTGCTGGTAACTGATCTGCAATATTTATTCCATCAAAATCTTACATTTAAGGAAAGGTAATTAGCGTTGAATTTTAATGCTTGGCATAATGCATTTTGGCCAAGGATCTCAATCAACGCTTTTGTTTACTTCACGCACTTTCCTCAGCTATAGACTGAAACAGTAACCAGTTTATTCCTTGAACAACATTGTATTTGGCTAAATTGACTATGTTTTCACTTACGGGTGTATTCCTAACTCCTGGTGTCATCTCTGATTTTCGGTATTCCAAGCATATAGCTTTCACTAAAGTTTTGCCTTTTGCGCCCAATGGAATGTGTTTCGGGAGATAATCGGAGACTGCGTTGAAGCTTTACAATTATTTGCAAAAGAATTCTCAGGGACGTAGCTGTAGGTAATTCTTGTTTACGAGCCCACGAATGTGTTAAAACATGCTCCTACTTTTGTACGTATAATTTCACAAAATAATTTTGGTGGAAATATTTGAAAAAACAAACCCAACAACCCCAAACTCTGCGTAGTCAGTATTATACTGTATTTATTGTACACATGTATATTAACTGCTTGGCAAAAGAAAGTATGTACTTGAAAATTGGGTTTAACCAAAAAATTACAAACGTTTTCAAAACCTTAGGCTGATCTGTTTTGAGATACGCATATGATACCAGTACCAAATACACCATCATCGGATAACCATTGGTTCATTTTAACCACCATCAAACATGGTGTATACCTTCTTTTGCCGAGCATTTTATATTCGAGCCCCGGTGACACTGAGCATACACTGGCATCAAAAAACCCGGTATAGGTAGAGGCAATGATATGAGGCAGCCCCGATATATACAGATGCAATGATATCAGTGACCAAGGGTGTATATCCAGCATACAATGGCATCAGGTAAGCCCCTGTGTAACCAGTTGCAATGGCATCAGGTATATCCGTATGTAATAACTCCGATGCACCCAGATCAAGTCTCTGAATGGCGTTTAGAAATGATACACAATACGGGGAAAGATATTTATTGATGACAACTCCGATGCTAACCTCCGAAACGTTTTGTTCCTCATATTAAGGAAGTTGCCATCCATAAATTTTCTTCGTTATATCTAGATGTCATGGCCAATGATGAAATGTAATGAGTAATACCGATCGGCTTAATGTCAAACACCACCATTATGTTGTGTAAGTTAGTGTACGTTTAACGGCACCGCTCAGCTGACTGTACGATATGTTCGCCTGATACGTAGGGACACAGAGGCGTCACACCCCGTCACCGGGTAAGCATCAAAGCTATATCATTAACATTAGTTTTATTAAGTGAATCTGTTGCAGGTACACGATTACGGTCATAGGTTCCATAACACATTCATCGTACTGAAGATTTTCTTCCTACGATCGTTCTGCATCCTCGGTGGACGGCACATTGGGCGCCGCCTGGTGTTGGTCAACGTCTCCACAACAGCATAGCGCACTGAACTCCTCCCGGAAGCGGGTGTTGAAGTACCCGTATATGATCGGGTTCTGACAGGAGTTGCCCATGGCCAGGATGATCGTGATCACGAAGTTCGATGACGTAATTGACTTCGTGTACACTCCGAAGAAGCCGATGACAAAGAATGGCAACCACATCGTTACAAACATAAACACGATCAACACGCTCATCTTTATCAGTCGCACTTGAAGTTTGTTCCCGCGTGTTGATCCCCGAAGCTGACTCCGCCGGGAGGAAGCCCGCACCATGTTGAAAATTTTGTAATAAAATATAGTTATAACTATTAGGGGTAACATAAAGGATAAGATTCCAATCAAAATCAAATACACATCTGCATGAAACCCTTTCGGCCAGTGGATTCCACAAAATATGTACATCCTACCATCTTGAATGATACTAAGTTCAGCTTGCGCAAGTGCAATGGGAACCGGAAATGTTATAGAGATGACCCACACACCGGAAATGATCCAGCAGGCAAGTTGTCCGGACATGCGCCTGCGGTGCGAGAAACAGATGTAGGTGTAGCGCTCTATCGATATCATCATCATTGTCAGTATCGAACACGTCCCAGCAATGAACTGGACGTAAGTCACGAGTTTACAGATGACGTCACCAAACTCCCAGGATGTTGTGACGCGGGTCGTGGCGATGAAGGGGATGCCTGACGCCAACAGGAGGTCGGCGACGGCCAGGTTGGCGATGAAGAAGTTGGTGGCACTACGCAGCCTCCGGCACCTTAGAATGACCAGCAGCACCTGCAGGGGACACTGACTGTTACTAGGACATCATGGACATTCAATAGCTCTAACGCGTACCTATCATACTTTGCGATACAACGTAGGTTCATGCAGCTTCCAGACACAGTTTATCTATCGACGTTCTGCTAGGGAATTATATCCAACACTTACAGTAAGTGAGTGAGTGAGTGAGTATGGTTTAACGCCGCCTTTGGCAATCCTGCAGCAATATCACGGCGGGGGTCACCAGAACTGGGCTTCAAGTATGTGGCCGTGTTGAGAATCGAACCCAGGCTTTTAGCATTGATGCTTAAAAAAATTGACCTTAGGCCACAGTGATCTGGCAAGAATAAGAGTAAATGCATACGTTCCTGCAAATGGAACGGTATACTCTTACTCGAATTTCGTGGTGTAGATTAATCAATAAACGCTGGCGTATTATTTCAATATGCAATTTTCTTAAAACCAATTATCACCAGACTGAAGTCGTTTGGGAAAATATAATTATAGCCTGTACCTCCCGGTCTGTGTCTAAACCTCAAAGTGTTCGCGTCTGACAGTTCCAACAATCTCATACATTGGTGCGGTAGTTATATGAAAAGACACAATCTGAATGACGGTGGCATGGTCTATGTGAGAGATGAGTGTGATGCTACGTGTATTTGTGTAGGCTGTGTTAATTTAGAGAAAGTAACGTAGAATGCTTGCCTATACAGGGAGGTGTAAGAGTGTAGACCGGAAATTGAGTGCCAGGTATAGTATACAATCGGCTTCTTGCAGCATTTCTTGTACACATGCCGCAGAACCTACGTAATGGCACTGGCGGTTGTTATTCACCCAATGTTAGGCACGAGGCTTTAATATGCTTGTCAACCGCATCTGATTTGGCTTCACGGAGACAGAATAATGTGAATTGATAGCACCTCATAACCAGCTACTCGACAGCCGGACTACGTGACCTGCTTCCTTGCATGTCTTCGACCACTCCTGTGACGTCACTGACGTCTGTATAATTCGAGAGGGCTTTTGTACTTTATCGCCATCTGTAGGGGACGATTTCAGTGTTTCCTACTGTCGCTTTATTAATCCGGTCTCCTGATTTGGAACATTACAAACCTGGGCATGTGTTTACCATCAGTAGGCTGTTCTCTGGTCCTTCGCGAACACCAGGTACCATCACTATTTGAGAGTGATTCATGTACACATGCTTATGACATAGTCGTACAATAGAATTGTATGACCATGGAAAGAGATTTGTCGTTTGTATTTATTATGTGTGATTGGATCTATCCCTAGCATCATGTAATGATGATTAATTCCGGCGTTCCGTAGAGGGTGATTTCAGAGCCGAGGAATAGACATATTCAATATTCGCAGTTTTAAAAGCCTCCAAAATGATTTGAATAAACATAGGAAAAGATATTAATTGTAGTCACAGAAGATACAGAAACGTAAGTAAGGTCACACTTGCAACACTCTACAACAACTGGTGCTGTCTGTACGGTCATATACCCCGACCCGCAGCACGATGCCTGCCTCCGCTAGGGTTGTTCATCTCTCTTAACCTTACAATAATTCGTGTTGTCGACATATAAGTTCTTGGTTTCATCTTGTTGGTATTAGGTTTCGCTTTAAAAAGAAAAATACAATGCCGAATACCCCTTGTACATTTGTAACCATAGAGACGTCAGTCAGTATGCCTGAGGCTTGGCATTATAACGTAGGTCCTTGTCAGCTAAACCACCCTTTATCAGGTGCTCACATAAAGGCTGTGCAAATGCACATGTTAGAACTGGGTCTGTAGTTATATTGATTATTGTGAATATTGTCATTACTTCAACAGTTGTCAGTCTCGATATGTTTGTACATTCATACTGTGAAATCCAGCTACTTGAGGATGCAATAGCGGATATTCGATCAACTGAAATCTGTCCAGCAGACGTTGTTTTACCACTATCTCTGTTACCTCTCTGCCTGACTTAATATAACCTCACCACCACTACTACTGACCCCTCGTTACCGTCACTGATGTCACCCTCGCCTGGAGGTGTCTTCTGTACTTACCAGGCCATTTCCGGCAACTGCGGCAACAAATATAATGGTCAGAACAGTGACCTCTATCTCCGTTTGACCTGAAAAAGAAAAGTTTAAACTTAAGAAACCATGCCGGCCTGGGCTGGGGTTGGAAGGGGCTGGACTTGATTGGGGCTGGTGTTGAGTGGGACTGGGGTTGGGTTTGGGCTGGCGCTTTGGTGCGAGGCTGGGGTTTGGTGGGGCTGGGATTGGGTGGTGCTGGGGTTCGGCGATGCTTGGGTTAGGTGGGGCTGGGGTTGGGTGAGGCTGGGGTTGGATAGTGCTGGAGTTGGTTGAGACTGAAATTGGGTGGGGCTGGGGTTGGGTGAGGCTGGGGTTGGGTGGGGCTGGCGTTGGATGATGCTGGGGTTGGATGGTGCTGGGGCTGGGGCTGGGTGATGCTGGAGTTGGATGGTGCTGGGGTTGGGTGAGGCTGGGGTTGGATGGTGCTTGGGTTGGGTGAGGCGGAGGTTGGGTGGGGCTGGGGTTGGGTGAGGCTGGGGTTGGGTGGTGCTTGGGCTGGGTGAGGCTGGGGTTGGATGGTGCTGGGGTTAGGTGAGGCTGGGGTTGGGTGGGGTTGGGATTGCATGGTGCTGGGGTTGGATGGTGCTGGGGTTGGATTGTGCTGGGGTTGGGTGAGGCTGGGGTTGGATGGTGCTGGGGTTGGTGAAGCTGGGGTTGGGTGTTGCTTGGGTTGGATGGTGCTAGGGCTGGGTGATGCTGGTATGGATGGTGCTCGGGCTGGGTGATGCTGGTGTTGGATGGTGCTGGAGTTGGGTGGTGCTGAAATTGGGTGGGGATTGGGTTTGGATGGGGTTGGCGTTGGATAGTGCTTGAGTTGGGTGGTGCTGGGGTTGGGTGGTGCTGGGGTTGGGTGGTGCTGGATTTGGGTGGTGCCGGGGTTGGATGGTGCTGAGGTTGGGTGGTGCTGGGTTGGATGGTGCTGGGGTTGGGTGAGGCTGGGGTTGGATGGTGCTAGGGTTGGGTGAGGCTAAGGTTGGGTGGGGCTGGGGTTGGGTGGTGCTTGGGTTGGGTGAGGCTGAGGTTGGGTGGGGCTGGGGTTGGGTGAGGCTGAGGTTGGATGGTGCTGGGGTTGGATGGTGCTGGGGTTGGGTGAGGCTGGGGTTGGATGGTGCTGGGGTTGGGTGATGCTGGGGTTGGATGGCGCTGGGATTGGATGGTGCTGGGGTTGGATGGTGCTGGGGTTGGGTGAGGCTGGGGTTGTATGGTGTTGGGGTTGGTGATGCTGGGGTTGGGTGGTGCTGTGGTTGGGTGATGCTGGGGTTTGGTGATGCTGGGGTTGGATGGTGCTGGGGTTTGGTGAGGCTGAGGTTGGGTGGTGATGGGGTTGGATGGTGCTGGGCTTGGGTGGTGCTTGAGATGGGTGGTGCTGGGATTGGATGGTGCTGGGGTTGGGTGATGCTGGGGTTGGGTGATGCTGGGGTTGGGTGATGCTGAGGATTGGTGGGGCTTGGGCTGGGTGGTGCTTGGGTTGGATGGTGCTGGGGTTGGGTGAGGCTGGGGTTGGATGGTGCTGGGGTTGGGTGAGGCTAAGGTTGGGTGGGGCTGGGGTTGGGTGGTGCTTGGGTTGGGTGAGGCTGGAGTTGGATGGTGCTGGGGTTGGGTGATGCTGGGGTTGGATGGCGCTGGGATTGGATGGTGCTGGGGTTGGGTGAGGCTGGGGTTGTATGGTGTTGGGGTTGGTGATGCTGGGGTTGGGTGGTGCTGGGGTTGGATGGTGCTGGGGTTTGGTGAGGCTGAGGTTGGGTGGTGATGGGGTTGGATGGTGCTGGGTTTTGGTGGTGCTTGGGATGGGTGGTGCTGGGGTTGGATGGTGCTGGGGTTGGTGATGCTGGGGTTGGGTGATGCTGGGGTTGGGTGATGCTGAGGTTGGGTGGGGCTTGGGCTGGGTGGTGCTTGTGTTGGATGGTGCTGGGTGGGGCTGGGGTTGGGTGGTGCTGGGTTTGGGTGATGCTTGGTGGGGCTGGGGTTGGGTGGTGCTGGGGTTTAGATATATTGGGGTTGGATGAGGCTGAGGTTGGGTGGGGCTGGGGTTATTCGAGGCTAGGGTTGGATGGTGCTGGGGTTGGGTGAGGCTTGGGTTGGATGGTGCTGGGTGGGGCTGGGGTTGTGTGGTGCTGGGGTTGGGTGATGCTGGGGTTGGATGAGGCTGAGGTTGGGTGGGGCTGGGGTTGGTCGAGGCTGGGGTTGGATGGTGCTGGGGTTGGGTGAGGCTGGGGTTGGATGGTGCTTGGTGGGGCTGGGGTTGGGTGGTGCTGGGGTTGGGTGATGCTGGGGTTGGGTGATGCTGGGGTTGGATTGTGCTGGAGTTGGGTGAGGCTGGGGTTGGGTCGAGGCTGGGGTTGGATGGTGCCGGGGTTGGGTGGTTCTGGCGTTGGATGGTGCTGGGGTTGGGTGAGGCTTGGGTTGGGTGGGGCTGGCGTTGATTGGTGCTGGAGTTGGGTATGACATGTTTAACTGTTTCCCATACTTAAGCCTAAATATTAGATTACGATTTCAAATAGATGTTGGTGTTAGGTTCCACTGATTGGACGCGATTTACATTGGAATTCCCCCCTTGTCCTCACAAAGCCTGGCGCAGAAGAGATCAGATACCTGCGCCCTTCTCAAATCACGAGACATTGTCTGCCAGATTCGCCACAGGGTGAGTGTCAGAGCACAGATTCAATACATAACTAGTGTTCAAGATGAAAGTGCACTGAAAGGGTGGCATTTCAAAACTGAGATGTAATAAATTCCGGCCAATATGTTCATGTAATAGGGATTCTTAAACAAGAAGTGTGTATCACCGCGGACTACGTTGAAACACATATATTTAGAGAGTTAAAAAACCCAGTCATCAGGACAGAACATCGCGCGCCTTATGGCGGACCCTGGACCAAAGAAATAAATCTTGTCATATGTTTTCTTTGTTCGGATCCTCCAATGCGATGTGTTAGTTGGCCCTGTTTAGGGGTTCGTATCCAAAGCGTCAAATGTTATCCCGCTATCCTAGCCATAATATTACTACAATATTGCCCGAGCGATGTGGGGCGGTGGGGTAGCCTAGTGGTTAAAGCGTTCGTTCGTCACAGCGAAGACCCGGGTTCGATTCCCGACATGGGTTCAATGTGTGAATCCCATTTCTGTTGTCCCCCGCCGTGATATTGCTGGAATATTGCTAAAAGCGGCGTAAAGACATACTCACTCACTCACTCACTCACTCACTCACTCACTCACTCACTCACTCACTCACTCACTCACTCACTCACTCACTCAAGCGATGTACAGCACTCCCGAGTGTCTTTTGATATCAAATATATCAACACGAGTTGATAAAAGTGGAAAAATTCCGAGGCTTGCCGAAGATTTTTGCCACTTTTATCAACGAGTTTTGATATATTTGATATCAAAAGACACGAGGGTGAGATTTCATTTATCATCCAACATCATTCTTTCAACTTTTTCAATAAGTAGACAGTAATTAGCTGTGTCTTCAGTGTAAAAAGTACTGCTAACAGCTTCAGTAGCAGAGCCATTAGTGATGTCATTTGATTGTGACGTCATGGTAACCAGTGACGTCACAATGGTCTGCAAAGCATTGTGATGTAATTTCATTGCAGCGATATCTAATCCATCCTCTGGGAGCCAGTTTTGGATGAAAAAGGTATATCTGCTTCAAATTACAAAGCCCACCAGCTGCAGTACCTGGACCAATGAGTGGGGTATTCATGTTAAATTGCGGCATGGTATCTCAGTGTGCTAGCACTATAAATCGGCATCTGTCCGGACTAGTACAAACAGCCACACACACACACACACACACACACACACACACACACACACACATACACGTGCATGCACGTCGCTATATAAGTGCAATAACCTTGGACGCGACGTTAAACCCCATTTCACCTCACCTCACATTAATTAGCAGAATGGAAAGTTTGAATGGACAATGAGACTTAGTTTTAGGATATGACTATCTCAGATAGGATTTGCTACCACACAATTCACGTAAGACTCAAATGTGGAAAGCTTTATTATGTTTTGTTGTAATACTGTTTGACACATACCATCACTATTGAAGATGCTAACACGGTTGACTAAGCTGCTGGGGTGTGTCTCTGATCCCTTTCACATATGTGATTAGGGTTAAGATTCTGTGAATCAAATCTTCTTAATGTTCTAGTGCGTACAGTACCAATGTATTGGAGTTGTGTAGTGCCCCATATGACATGATTGGAAATAATGTGTTAGTATGTGCATAGCATCAGTACATTAGGTCTTCCCAATAAGCTGAGTGAGATATGCAGATCCCAAGCTCGTCTTTCTCCAGTTTCGGCTGCTGAGGAACTCTGTAAGATGTGTATACTATGAACGAGATTTACGATAAAGTCAACTGATTTATATGTAAGTAAAATACATGGACTGTAACCACTTCCTGACAGCAATGTTGACATAAACAAGAGAAGAAACCTCTATCGGATGCCCGCCCGCAGTCTCACAAACGTTCACGTGTCTTTACACTTAAAGTCAATTACGTGTGTGTAAAGCTCCCATTGCCGTCGGTGTGCTTTACAAGACGGTTGTGACAGCAGGAGATGCTGTCTGTGTGGTTGATGTGCCGTGTATGTACACAGACGTGGGGTGAGCTAGCGTCTGAATCCTGCCACAACGTCAACCTCGCTGTAAACCCTTCATTAACCATTCATTATGATTCCATAGAAGCCAGCACAACTCATTGCAATATTTCAACTAAAGCATTTCGCGTTCAACATTAGTCCGACCCTATCACAACAAGTCAAGTGAGGCGAGATATACCTCATGCCAGAACAACGTACTGACAAGTTAGTCAAGTTCTTGTTACACCACATGTCATGTGATATTTAAAAAGAAAGAACGATAATATCTTAAGCGGACTGTGGGTGGCGCATTTACTCCATTACACAGTTAGTAACAAAAACAATTTGGAGGCAAGCCAGCTAACGTTGAGTGACGTCACACACATAGTTTTATGCTGCAGTCAGCAACATCAAAGCTGCATGTGAATGATCCTCACAGTTTATACAGAACACAGATTATACAGAACACAGATTATACAGAACACAGATAATACAGAACACAGATTATACAGAACACAGATTATACAGAACACAGATAATACAGAACACAGATTATACAGAACACAGATTATACAGAACACAGATAATACAGAACACAGATAATACAGAACACAGATAATACAGAACACAGATTATACAGAACACAGATTATACAGAACACAGATTATACAGAACACAGATAATACAGAACACAGATTATACAGAACACAGATTATACAGAACACAGATAATACAGAACACAGATTATACAGAACACAGATAATACAGAACACAGATTATACAGAACACAGATTATACAGAACACAGATAATACAGAACACAGATTATACAGAACACAGATTATACAGAACACAGATAATACAGAACACAGATAATACAGAACACAGATTATACAGAACACAGATTATACAGAACACAGATTATACAGAACACAGATAATACAGAACACAGATAATACAGAACACAGATAATACAGGACACAGATTATACAGAACACAGATTATACAGAACACAGATTATACAGAACACAGATAATACAGAACACAGATTATACAGAACACAGATTATACAGAACACAGATAATACAGAACACAGATAATACAGAACACAGATTATACAGAACACAGATTATACAGAACACAGATTATACAGAACACAGATAATACAGAACACAGATTATACAGAACACAGATTATACAGAACACAGATTATACAGAACACAGATAATACAGAACACAGATTATACAGAACACAGATTATACAGAACACAGATAATACAGAACACAGATAATACAGAACACAGATTATACAGAACACAGATTATACAGAACACAGATTATACAGAACACAGATTATACAGAACACAGATAATACAGGACACAGATTATACAGAACACAGATTATACAGAACACAGATTATACAGAACACAGATAATACAGAACACAGATTATACAGAACACAGATTATACAGAACACAGATTATACAGAACACAGATAATACAGAACACAGATTATACAGAACACAGATTATACAGAACACAGATTATACAGAACACAGATTATACAGAACACAGATTATACACAACTTGACAAATCAAACCCTGGAGATTGGTGTGACGCACGAAACTTTAAACAACCAGGCTAGCCCGTCGTCTATTAAATGGACAGAGATCCGTTCAGTTTACTTTGATATGTACAAAACATAAAAATGATAATAAATGTGGAAACATTATGAAAGCAAGGCTTATAAATATTGAATAAACTGACTGCACAAAAAAAATAACCATCCTTCGGACATACGTGCGACGTTTCTAACACCAGCCTCAACAGCAGTTGCAACGTCGACATTTTATGACGGTCATAAATACAAGAGGTGGCAGCTACAACCAGGTCGGGATGACGGCGCGAGGGTTTACAGGCTAGTGTGACGCACTTGCCGTATACCATTGGCCATATAACCATCCCCGTTACGGTAAAGGATGTGATGTTGAATGTATGTCACCATACAATGGTTGCCGAGCGATATCAATGCGTTGTGGTGCTTGGTATTGGCGAGTGGCGTATGCCAATGCAAAGTGAGTGATTGAGATTTAAGATGAACGATTCCAGCTGCCCCGCCCTGACATCTGACAGAATTGCTCTCTTCAGTGCTTATGCTCCTTTTTCATGACATTTTTTTACTGTCATAATTTTATTCAATCATTCTCTCGTCCAGGCGTTACCTATTTTTGATTGTCAAATAGCACATTGCTATCCATGCTTTGATTGGGGAATGCATGCAATCTTTACGAAATAAATTTATTAATATTGTTCCAGAGCCGTATTTTTTCAGAACAGCCAGTGCGAATAAAATGCCCGGTCCTTAAACTGAATGATAAATGTTGGTTTTTAATTTAATAGTAACATCTTCTATCATCTGTTTGATAGTGAATCACAAACGCATGCCTAATATACGCCGGAATGGTACATCAGACTCTGCTTTGGGCAGAGATGTCTTATGATTATGGAAAGGGTTTTGTTTTTATTTTATTGTAATATTGGTTGGTGGGTTAGTTGGTGGGTTGGTTGGTTGTTTGTTTAACGCCGCACTCAGCAATACTCCAGCTATATGACGGCGGTCTGTTAATAATCGAGACCAGACAATCCAGTGATTGATATCATGAGAATCGATCCACACAATTGGGACCGATGACATGCATCAAACCAAGTCAGCGAGCCTGACCACCCGATCCCGTTAGTCGCCTCTTACAAGCATAGTCGCCTTTTACGGCAAGCATGGGTTGCTGAAGACCTTAGTGTAATGCATTAGTATTCGTTTTTCTTAATGTTACAATGATTCAATGTTTAAAATGGCATGCAGTATGTTTGTATATTCCTTCATAGGAATTTTCATTGTTTAATATGGGTCTTAATGAATTATATAGAAAATAAAATCGGAAAAAAATGGAAACTTCAGAATAGGTGAAAAAAAGCTAAACTAAACTCACCTTTCCACTTGCCGCTGAACTCGGACAGGAATGTAAATGCAGTCTCATTCGTGCTTGGGTCAGTAAGAACAATCTCCCCCATTGTGGTAATACTTCAGACCTTGACATGTGTATCTTCCACTGTGGTCACACACGGACAGCCTGTGTAGCACATCGCCGGTCCCTTGCATCGTCTGGCATCCCACTTCACTGCCTATGAGTCTCGAGAAACATAGCATGGTTTGCACAGATAGTGAGAGTGCGCAGTGCGTAGTGCGTAGTGCGGAGCTCGCCTTCGTCACCACGATGAGGCTACAGGGAATGATATAATGTTCTGGCACTCTTGAGCTAACATTTCGCCTCGACGATAGGGGGTGGGGTTATATATGTCTCGGAATACCCTTGCGCGGTGTGTTCACAGTTCCATCTATCAAATAGGGATTTAATTAAATTTAGTTACTAACACTGATAAACACTTGGAGATCTCACAAACGCAAGAATGAGGGAGAAATTGACATTGTATTCGCAGGAGGATTAACAAAATCATTTGAAAAGTTCAGAACCCAGAGGAATATCATTATCGACGTGAGTTGTTTGTTTGTACGATCTGATGATGAGAGAGAGAGAGAGAGAGAGAGAGAGAGAGAGAGAGAGAGAGAGAGAGAGAGAGAGAGAGAGAGAGAGAGAGAGAGAGCTCTTATCATAAAGCGCTGAATTGTCTTAATTATTAACAGGCTGCAGTTGATGATCGCCAGGTTGAACATTATATATCATAATGGTTTTATGCAAGAGGGCGCCTCTTTAGCAATTCTCATCACTCCTCTGCACCATCCAACCATATATTCAAACGAAGAGCCGTTGTCGTCTTATAGAGAGCCTTATATCTTTCTACAAACTGACAATGTATTGTATTTCGTGCGTGTTCATGTACAATGAAAAGGCTGTCACACTGTAGGAAGTATTACCACTGTTAATATGACAGAGATGCAGTTGCATTCTCCAAGACATAGATATCACAGCTTTTAGAAATGAACATCCATATGGTGGCCGAGAGGGGACATCGCTTTCTCGCTTTCTCGCGGTATGGCAATATTCCCTCTTGGCCACGATATGGGTCGCATGCGTTACGTGTTTCTTTACGATAAAAAGTATATATATAAAACAACATTAATGAATTGTCCTCAGTGTGTGTGTGTGTGTTGGGGTGGGGTGGGGTGGGGTGGGGTGTGTGTGTAGGGGGGCTGATGTGGGTTTTAATCATAAAAGAGAGCTGAGATTTTTCCAGTCGCATTTCAAATTATACATATGGACGGAATGTTGAAATTTTCTCACTATCTACTTATTTAACAGTACAGACATATGTGCTTTTATAACAATCCACGTATTTCTGCGTAAAAAAGAATCTAATTGATTTATGGCCCTATTTAGCTATTGGATCCCCCGCCCCCAGGCCAAGTTATCAAAACAAATAGCAAATAACACCGCTCAATAGCGCTGAGTAGTACGTACTTCCTAAAAAGCAATAGTGTTTTCCTAAAAACAACGCTTATATCAATGTTTATTCTGTTTGCGGAGTAGATGTGATCAAAGTGGAAGTCCTCACCCAAGCATAGTAATATTGCCGGATGTCCATTATGTAATTTCTAGTTTTGGGATGACATATTGTTCTCAGTAACCGTAATGTGGAAATAGTTGATTGGTTTTATATTCAAGTTGGTATTTCCGCTTTTCAACGTGTTCAGTGAGGCCGTCTTATCAACAGTCATTTCTGAGACATCAATGCAAAGTAAAATTACCGTATTCAACGTAATAAGCGCCCCGCTCTAATAAACGCCCACGGCGATATTTGCTAATATATTGGCTAGTGAACAATCCCAATTAGCACCCCTTCCGATTGATTAATGTACAAAAGACTTATTTATTCGCGTATAATACGCACTCGTTATATGCACACTTAATTATGGGCAATTAAAATCGGGAAAAATATATCTGTCGTACATAAACATTTCAGGCTGTCAGCATAAACCACGAAATTAATCTTTCAACTCAACTTTTTTTTCACCAAAATAATATTTTAATTTAGAAAGCGCCCTGGGCGCTTATTACGTCGAATACGGTAATTAAGTCTACGCTTATTATTTTGCATTTATAATTAACATACTATTTATAGTACATACTATTCAAAAGAAGTTAAAGAACACCCGATTCCTTCATATGACTATGGTTAGTCACTAGAGGAAGCGATAGAGCGAGAAAGCGATGAAGCGAGAAAGCGATAGAGCGAGAAAGCGATAGAGCGAGAAAGCGATAAAGCGATAGAGCGAGAAAGCGATAAAGCGATAAAGCGATAAAGCGATGAAGCGAGAAAGCGATAGAGCGAGAAAGCGATAGAGCGAGAAAGCGAGAAAGCGAGAAAGCGATATTTCCCATAATGCCGTATATTAAAACGGTTTTTGCTTATATTTAGTGATCCTGTAATTCTCACCGCTATTTTGCCTCTTATGATTAGATTTTTGAAACATCTTGTAGTAGATAAATATGTTACAAAATACACACGTAATTTTTTCTCGTTTAGCTTGCATATTTTCTTGTAGTGTAATAAATAAGCAAGATTCAAAGAATACAGATAATCACTGTTCCTATTTTAAATTTTGTTCATAGTATCCCCCCCCCCCCCCCCCCCATTCCTCCATCAAACTTAAAACTGATAAAAGGGAGATCATATATGTCAGTTTTATTAGCCAGTTTGTATTGTTTGCAACGTCCAAAGAATTATTTTTTTCAGTAATTAGATTTGGAATTGAAGCCCAATATGTGCTCGTCCGATTTCGGGATCACAATTATGTTCATTAAGTTGGACAATAGAAATGAAATGCGTTCGATCAAACTGTCTTCGGGAATTAAATTTAATGCTAAAGTGCTTGTAAAATAAAGTTTAACTTTCCCGCCAGGAGAGACTAGATATCCAATTATAGTATAGGCTCAGACAGGAATATACATATTTATGTAGTAATTCTCTCTCCATTTAGACTGTATGGTTAACAATTGTGCGTTCTGATGTGAGTTATGTCGTTATCTACTACCTTTTTACACAGACAATGAGGCGGACACACACACACACACACACACACACACACACACACACACACACACACACACACACACACACACGCACGCACGCACGCACACACACACACACACGCTCGCACGCACACGCACGCACGCACACGCACACGCACACACACACAATTTTGACAAAACTATACTTAAGATATACATAACATATCACAATGATAGCTGATTTAATATATGTTATAGATAATCATAGTAATGCATGGGGGCAGTGGGGAAGCCTGGTGGTTAAAGCGTTCGATCGTCAAGCCGAAGACCCAGTTCGATTCCCCACATGGGTACAATGTGTGAAGTCCATTTCTGGTGTTACCCGTGATATTACTGGATTATTGTTAAAAGCGACGTGAAACCATTCTCACTCACTCACAGCGGTGTTTATCAAATTACTATATGTAAGTACATATATTTGTAGATTTGCACAAGACAAGAAACACAATTCAAGTTAAACATACATCAAATGTCAAAAAGAACATTTACGGACAACCTCATGACACACTATAACATCATGTACTACCGAAAACAAGTTATAGAGCACCCACAATTATAAGATTGTATTTTTGCAAAACAATCAGCCATGACTAATTAACCATAGTCTTCTTAACTTCTTTTGAAAAGTATATATTTAGATTTTAACCTGATTTATTTAGAGCGTATTGCCATGATCTGCCACGCGCTTTCGGCGAGATGGTCACATACAACTGAATAGGGCCATAAATAAATCAATTACATTTTACGCAAAAATCGGTGGATTGTTTTAAAATCACCTACGTCTGTACAGTTAAATTATGTTTTAAGTAAATAGTGAGAAAATTTCAACATTACCTCCCAATTGCAGCAGATATCACATGCGGCCCCTGTAGGGGTCAAGAGGGGATATTGCTTAACCGCGAGAAAGCGATAAAGCGATAGAGCGATAAAGCGAGAAAGCGAGAAAGCGAGAAAGCGAGAAAGCGATAGAGCGATAGAGCGAGAAAGCGAGAAAGCGATGTCCCCTCTCGGCCACCATACATCCAGTGGTTCAGGAAACTGTTGAAGCTCCACTGGTTCTGTTCCAGAGGGCGTAAGGCTAGCCACCATGACACCATGCTACTTCCGGTCATCTTCAGTCTCCCGGAAGTGAAGTACTGTGTTGGGATTTCAACTTCCTTTCATACCCAGGACATCTGATAGCTTGTATTTGACATGTGCTCTACCGATACATTAACATGAGAGTGTGATGTCGGATGTCCCCGTCAACAAGACTCGCTGATGCGTTATCTCTGTAAGCAAGGCATCTGAAGAGCTGGCCTGTTGATCGTCCGTTGATCGTTCTTCAAAGGGAGCGGATGGTGGAAGAAAATTTAAAAAAATAAAAAAACAGACACAGTTCAAGTCGGCATGTGGTCTCTTGTTGAGAAAAGAACACATTCTAGTATGTGCTTTATTGTTATTTGAATCTTGACCTTAAAAATTAAAAAAGAATGTTTCCAATGTGCATGTACTGACGGGAGACAAGGAAACAACGAAGCTGTACTCCTCTTGTTTCAATATTCCATGGATAAAATACAGTGAGGATATCAATGTTGTTTTAGGAAACATGAAATGTCTAACTTTTTACTGGAGCGGGTTGATATATATTCGATCTCTAGCTGTTTCCGTGGCATCGAGTGGAACACTGATTCAAGTAGGCTTGAGTAAACTTGAATTTGAGGGCTAATATTTTGACAGGACCTCTTTTCCTGTACCAGCGGTAAAATAAGAAAATAATTCTACTGATGTTTAAAGATATAGTATATTGTTCGCATCCATGTTGTACACGTTGTACATGTAAGTTTCTTTGCTGCATAAGTTAGCCTTCCAAATTCACAGACATTAATATTATATTTAATATTCGTAAGACCATCGTAGCAGAAGTTAATTGAAAAATATCTCATAAAGAAAATAAACGGAGGAAGTAATAATGATAATACTAAATTAAACAACATAGTCAGTTGTATTTTCTCTCATGGGTGGGGAGATCAATGAACTAACAACCGTCGGCTATGTTTTTTCTTGCCCCGTGATTTGAAAACGTTTCACGTCGATCGTTTGATGAACTGGATTTGATGATACAAACTAGTTTCGGCACGTTTCTCTTTGACTTGAAACAGGTAAACATATGACTCCAACTGTAATACATTAGGTGTGAGAGAATTACATATAACTAGCAGGATTTGCATATGGTCAGTGGATATAAACTGTGTACAATAACGCCAAGCCTATAAGACGGCCAATCAGACACGTATCTTCATAGACGCAGGGGGGATGTAACCAGCACAAAGCGGGGTTGCTGGATG